TAAATACTTTTTAATGTAACAATTTTAAATATTTTATTTTAAAGATTATAATTTTTATTACATGCAAATAACAAAATATTTTTGGAAACAAAGTATATCTTTATTTAAGTAAAAAAAAATCAAAATTAACAAAATGTATTTATTTAATTTAAAAAAAATTTTGTATATAGAATATGCATTAAAGTGGACGACAATTTTTTTCACGCGCATTACGCACAGACGTTGGATCTTTTCCCCGCAGGACATACCAACGAGTAGATAATCCCGCGACGAACCATCGTGTCTGCCAGTTACGACAACGATAACGACGACGAAAACGAAGAGGACACTTCGCACTGCATCACCCGGGACAATATCTCGCACAAACACACCCTGTGTTACACCGGGACTATATACAGAATCCTGTCGGTGGGTCCGTACTCCTGCGAGCCCCCGGTCTTATATACCCGATGAAAACGACGGGGGACGCTCTTCCCCCTCTGATCACTCGAGGAGACGGCTATTTGCGACTCGCGATGTGAGCGATCGTCACCGATTGTTCATTCTGTGCACCGTATGCGTGTGTATTTATAAGCTGGAGAAATAACAAACCAACAAATTGAAAGATCATATAGATAATATTGACTCATTGACAGGAATCAAATGTCATTCAGCAGTCTGGTTGTACATATCGATAGTAAGAGAGTACTTTGTCAATAGTAAGTGACAGATCCTACTTTTTATGAAGGGGAGGAGATTAACACTTATCGTATTAACCCTTCATGAGATTATTATTTTTCTGCTGTTCGCATTCGTATAAGCGTCAGGTAATTAGGTAATAATTCATATGTATAATCGCAAGAATCTCGAATTATTGGTAATTTGAGATCTGCCGTGATATTTTTGTTGAAGAGAGATCGATTTCGAATAGATTACCATCACACGGAGAATTATGAACACCCTCGTATAAGTGTCGTAACGTAAAAGAGGCGAAGTAAGATTGAAGCTCTCGCGCGTATCCAAAAAAGATTAATTCTTTGAATTTGATTAATAAGTAAACACGTACAAGCTTCTATGTACACAGATCTCGAAGATGTAACTTTTTAATAAAAATATTTCCGTCAATGAATAATATCAATTTTCAAACGATTAATGATAGATTTACAGTTGGAAAATTTGTTTTCTTGTTAAAAAATATGACGGTTAAAATTTTTGTGTTAAATATTTAACACATTCATGTGTTAATTTAGCATATTGCTGTTTTGTTAATTAAACTCAAGTGTTAAATTATTGAAACAACTGAAAAAAGTATAAGAATAACACAATGTGCACATATTTTTAATTTTACATAATAGATATGTTCCGTATTATTAGTGACAGGATTTATCTGTTAAAATTTACAGAAAGAATATTGATTTTACTCTACAATAGGAGTGAGAGTGACTACAGACCGTCAATAACACTTTTCCAAGTTAATTTTATCATTAAAAATTTGTTGATTTTACACAAAATTTATTTCAAATTATTATGAAGTTTGCATTTATTTTGTGTGTTAAAATATTAACATAATATTAGTGTCATCATTTAACATATCCATATTATGTTAAATTAACACGAAAATTTGTGTGGACCGTTTGGGACATGTGATATCTGTTAAATTTAACACAATATAATCGCAAGAATCTCGAATTATTGGTAATTTGAGATCTGCCGTGATATTTTTGTTGAAGAGAGATCGATTTCGAATAGATTACCATCACACGGAGAATTATGAACACCCTCGTATAAGTGTCGTAACGTAAAAGAGGCGAAGTAAGATTGAAGCTCTCGCGCGTATCCAAAAAAGATTAATTCTTTGAATTTGATTAATAAGTAAACACGTACAAGCTTCTATGTACACAGATCTCGAAGATGTAACTTTTTAATAAAAATATTTCCGTCAATGAATAATATCAATTTTCAAACGATTAATGATAGATTTACAGTTGGAAAATTTGTTTTCTTGTTAAAAAATATGACGGTTAAAATTTTTGTGTTAAATATTTAACACATTCATGTGTTAATTTAGCATATTGCTGTTTTGTTAATTAAACTCAAGTGTTAAATTATTGAAACAACTGAAAAAAGTATAAGAATAACACAATGTGCACATATTTTTAATTTTACATAATAGATATGTTCCGTATTATTAGTGACAGGATTTATCTGTTAAAATTTACAGAAAGAATATTGATTTTACTCTACAATAGGAGTGAGAGTGACTACAGACCGTCAATAACACTTTTCCAAGTTAATTTTATCATTAAAAATTTGTTGATTTTACACAAAATTTATTTCAAATTATTATGAAGTTTGCATTTATTTTGTGTGTTAAAATATTAACATAATATTAGTGTCATCATTTAACATATCCATATTATGTTAAATTAACACGAAAATTTGTGTGGACCGTTTGGGACATGTGATATCTGTTAAATTTAACACAAATTTTTTAACTGTGTTTGTCTTAAAAGCGCAAAAGTCCTTTTATTGTATCATTAACTCATTCATATTTTAATTTGGATATTCATTTATTTTCAACGGAATTTTTATTTTTTAATTCGACATCTCTCTTAATCGTGAAAAATAATTCAGTTATCTTTGCTACTTATGAAGTAACATTACAAGAATGAATAAATATGCGAGTTTAAGTGCACCGGGAGACACGCATGGATTTATCGTCGCCAATTTAAAGGCCACCGTTGTCACGACAATCCCGGCGATCTGGCTCGTTTTAAGGGCACGCGGACGAACAATGCGATCTCTGAACCTTTAATAGGATACGTTTGCTCCTAATAGGATGCGCCGCCGTTTCTGCTGACATTTTGTTTCTGTCACGATGCCACCGATAGCGAACCGATTGTCGAACCCGTTGTATTCCGACAACAGTAGCAGGGATCGATACCGATCCCGTGAATCGAATCGAGAATGAAAGGAGTTCGAGATAGAGATGTAAAAAAACAGTTGAAAAAAACGTGGTTTTTTTAATTTAAAAAAAAAACAAATTTTTTCTTTTTTTATTTTTTTTAATATAATATTTTTCTTTATATTTTTTTTTTTTTTTGTTAACAATAAAAAAACTAAAGTTCTTATATTTTGTGTTATTTTTTTTCAAAAATAATTTTGATGGATTAATGAGACTTTTACGACAAATTACATCAAACTCGGCATGATTCGGATAATTTTCAATTAGATGCATAACTATATATATTATAGCCAATTGGAATGCGAGCTACAATTAAAATAATAATTAATTCAAATCTATCATCTAAAAAGTTAAAAATAATGAAAAATCAATTTGCAGTAATTAAAATATAAAGTAGAAAAAATAATAAAAAATCAATTTGTAGTAATTAAAATATAAAGATATTAAATACTCAAAAAAATCAAAATTTTGAAAAAGAACAAGGCTTGGTTTTTTTTCTATTTATATCTCTCCTTCGAGATAATGTTACACGAATTTTATTATGAAACGCTCTTAGAGGAAAGACCTTGCTGTCAAATTCCTTATTCCAATGCAGATGCGTAATACTCTATTGATACAATGAATCCAATTTTTTTTTCTTCACGGATTGATTCAAGTATCGATAAATCATGAGATTATACCCGAAGAGAAGTCGAAGTGTCGAAAAATTAAAGAAGTCAAAGGTTCATGGCAAAATCCTATTCTTCGATTAGGCTTAATCATGGAATGCGAATTTTCGACTGAAATGTTGCAACTAAGAAGATCGTGGATTTTAGATTGTTCAATATATACCGGGAGAGCGAAACGCGACGCCATCACTCTCGAAGTTGCATAACTTTGGCAAAAGGTTCGATACACCTCTCTCATTGAAGAGAACTCTCGAGAGATGTACAAAAATATTCTTGCGCAACGCGAGCACGACGTGTACGCGCAAAATTATAGTCCGGCATTCACGCAACGACGCGTGATATGATAAATAGAATATTATTTATCGGGAATTTTTGTGCCGCGAAAAGTGACGGAGTGTGAGTCGTGATCGTCGTACTATACTCTGATTTATCTCTTAACACTTTTACCGATTAAAATTTAACGAGGACAAATTCTCCGAGATCGAGACTTCACGGATTAAACGTTAATTAATTCGCATATCATCCTGATTTATCTGTTATCTCCTTTCATTCGCAAAAATTGATAGACAAGATATATTGCTCAAACATCTCGAAGAAAAAGAAGCTTTATTTTTTTTATTATTCTCTTTAGCGTAAAATATATAAAAATTTACTTTTAAAAAAAAAAAA